TATATTTACTAATTTTAGCTTTATCACCCCGACTTACGTCTTCAAGAGGATTAAAATTAATTTATCTGTCTATCGTTTTCCATTTTGTTTCAGTTAAAAAGTTATTTCTTGATGTGCTGAAGCAGTATGTCCTTAATACATCCTAAATACATGAATTATATTACTAGGCTGATTTTCCTAGTAGTTTAAACTCCAAATTATTATATTTTTTTAAGTGAATAACTTTTTTAGGGGTAGCGTAAGTCGGATTCATGGGGTTAGCCGCTATGACCAAAAAAGCGACACGGGCGTCGGGCGTGACTTACTCGACACTAAGGGTTCAATCAGACGATCGAATTTTGCCTGCCCGGCCCGCTGTTCAAGGTAAATATGCCGAAGCCGGCGAACTGGGCGAACTGACCCGCCAGTGATGGTCAGTGTATGTTTATTACAATCTAACTCTGTATATGAAAAAACCAGACGACAGGCGCCAGTCAAATATTTCTATACTAAACGATAGAAATATAGGTGTATTTAAAAAATGACGCTGGCTGTCAAAATCCGGTCGTCTGTTTGGACCTTAACGTTTCTATGGAAATAAATAATAATACATTTTGTCTTATCTTTGTACAATAATGACAAATTAATTTCAATAATTGAAAATTTTATTTTTTATTTGTCCATTACAAACTTAATATTTGGCCGTAATGATCTGATGAACCTTTTTTTTCATACCCTCTGTAAAGAAGTTTCAGTTCATCCGCTCGTATACTATTACAGTGGCTTGGCGTGGCGCGTTGGCTGCTATCAGTCACGGAATGCGACTGGGAGTAAGTAACGGCCACAGCTACTAGCTCTCGGATGGATGACCACCCGGGTTCATAGTAGGTAGTTAAAAACCTTGCCACACATACACGTGTTATAGCTACCTACTGTAACAACCCTTTTTTTTTTTTTTTTATTATCTTATCGCCGGACTCGGGGGAGGACTGCCTTTGCTCTGCTTTCCCGCCGAGCCGCCATCTTTTATTTATATAATCAGTCTTTATACATTTTTACCTTATATACTAAACATTCAGCATTCAACATGTATATACAATATATTGAAAATCAAAACATCAGTAGCATCTTAATTAAAATAGGATCTTAATTTAACAAGAATTACACGTCTGTGCATTGCACCTGAATCTATTTCCACTTGTAGTTTGACATCTGTTTCTCAGACCGACGTGTACGCCCGCCGCCTTAGACCTCTCGTTCTATCTCCTCAGCCGTTCCTCTTCTTCTTTGGTCCCCAGGATTAAAGTAACGTACCTTTCCACCGCTTCCCAGTTTCCCTTGTTATGTAGCATGATGGGAATTATTGTTTCTGGTGAAACGACTTGGTCAACCGTGGCTTCCAGATCTGTCAGCTTCCTTGCCCACCGACCACATTTAAAGAACGTGTGTTCCACATCGTCCATATTATCTCCACAGGATAAGCAATGTGGGGATTCTGCCCGGTTGAAACTATGTAGTTTGGCCTGAAAGCAGCCATGTCCCGTCAACATCTGTGTCAGGTGGTAGCTTGTCACACCATGTGCTCGACTTGCCCAATCGCGAACTCTAGGTATGAGTCGCTTTGTCCACGCCCCTTTATCTTTTTCTTCGTCCCATTCCTGTTGCCACCAACTCCANTCGCGTCGAGAGTGGACTTTCCAGGCCGAAAGCCAAATTGGTTGACCGCCTGGCCGGACTTCGTGAGGTGCTCGCGCAGCCTCCCCGTCAGCAGCTTCTCGAATAGCTTGCCCATCGAGTCGAGCATACACAGGGGGCGATACGCAGACGGGTTATCAAGCGCCTTGCCCGGCTTGCGCAATAGCACTAAGTTCGCAGTCTTCCACTCCGGTGGGTAGTGCGCTTCTCTCATGCAGCTGTTGAACAGTGCTGCAAAGAACTGGGGAGACAGTCCGACCGCAGCCTTTAAAACTTCGTTGGGGATGCCATCTGGCCCCGGCGCCTTGCCGTTTGGCAGTCCCCTCGCAGCAGCTTTAACGTCGTCCGCCGTGAAGCTGGCTCGGTCGATGTCCTCTTGGCTGACTGGTATAACATATCTCGTGCACGGGGGCTTCGTGGGGAATAGGTTGCTGACTATGTTCTCCAGTCTCCCTGGCATGTCGATTCCCGGGATCGTTCTCCTCCGGGTTAGTTACCTACCGTAACAACCCTAACAATCGTAAAAACAACCTATAGTACTAGTACCAACCTTACCCCTACCACAGTTCACAACCCCTAAAACAGTTAATAGCCTTTTCGCCGGGCCTAAGTTCAATAAAAAAAAAAAAAAAATACTATTACAACACTTGATTTTTTAGTTTTACAACTAATAAAGTAATAAGCGTACATATTATGACCATTATTAGCAAACTAGTACCCACCATAGAAAACCTAGATCCGCTACTGGACTTATAGACCCAATAAATTGTTCTCCCTATGTTCCATGTTACGGGGTCCTGTATTTATGATCTTTTCTCTAATAATGATTTTCTAATTAAAATGATAAGTTACTGACAGCTTATCATTAATATTGAATTTTTACCATAGAAATAAAAAACAACTAAATAGCGGACTGCATATTACATTCATACATGCAGGAACGTTGAAGTCGTGCGGCCATATATTGTCAACAGGGCAATGTTTACAAAATAACTCAATAGATAAGATAGTACTATATCAATAGATAGATCTATACATATTTATATTACGAATACATGCATATTATCAACCATGCAATTTTGCCCTGTTTGGCATATGGTTGCTGACTTCAATATTATCCTGTAGTCGGCTATCTATAGTTGTTTTATATGTCTATGATTTTAATTTACATGAAACATGACGTAAGTCCCGTACTCCCGTCTCAGATTATCTATTGTAAAAAATATCAAGGGTATCACGCAGTAGTGTAGTGTCATTATGTGGTTTTCTTTCAACCATAGGTACCTCATATTATATCTATCTATCATTTTATAATCATCCAGTCTAAATAAGATAAAATATGGTTAATTGTTGTTCAAGAAAATGTATTTAGATAAACGTTGCTCAACACTGTGTAATGCCTATGACTCCATCCCACAAAACATACCATGTTGACATGTTGTGAATTTGGAAAAGTCGGTAATCAAAAAGTCTGCCATCTACTCACCTATAGTAATTTTGAAGGACCTTTGATTACTTTTGATTGTGTATAATCTTTATTATAATAATTATTATAATTTTAAAATAGTTTATTTGTTTGTAATGACTAAAATCAAAAACTACGTAGCCGATTTTAAAAATTATTTCACCTATGCAAAGTTAAATACATACTGTAAAAGTAACGTAGGCTGTGTTTTATTTAAAAACAAAGTAAGGTTTGCTATTTGTATATAATATTATAATATAGGTACTTATGTATATGTTACGGGTAATGTTAATATTCGTATAATGTCGACATTAGCCATCCGTGTTGGCTAATGTGTAATTTTTCGTTTATAAACTTGAAATATCAACATTATCCGGATAATGTTAACCTTAGCCAGTCAATTTTGGATAATGTTAAAAGTTATGTACTAAATAGGCTATAGAGATTACTGATTAGGTAATAATATTCAAGTGGTGAATGAAAATTGTTGTTCGGAAGCATCAAAGGACGAAGGATTATGTGACTTAATGTCTATAAGATAGGTATATGATATTGATATTTGAAAATTTGAAATTGCCTATATTTTTCTAAATAACTAAATATAATATAATAACTATTTTTTTTACAGAAATCAATCGATAATAATAAAAAAAATTCTGAAATTTGTTTGATAAATCAAGCTGAAAAAATGAAATTTAGGTCTATCCATAAGTTTCCCCCCAGCTAACGTCGGAGATAGTGTGAGAGTCACTTTACCCGATGTCGACAGAGGACGAGCAGACCCAAGAAATATTTTATTTGCAGTTGTGACTATTGAGGACGAACAATATTATAAACTTGGTACTAAATATGGTACTTTGCTACAGTTATATACCAGAAACCAGTTTGGTGTTTGTCCGATATCATTAATACCGCTTGATGAGGACGTACCTATAGAAAAATCATTGAGGGAAATTGCTGGTCTAATATCAGACGGTAGTGATGGTCAAGGATACAAAAGGTGTTCATGCAAAGGTAAATGTGACACCAATCGTTGTAAATGTAAATCATATAATATTTTGTGTAATTCAAAATGTCATGGAAGTATGCCATGTAGGTAATAATAAATAATAACACATTAATTCTATTCTTAAATACTAATTAAAAAAAATCTTAAAATATAAAATAAAATTTAATATGTATTGTATTATTAGTATAAACTCATTTAAATTATACTCGTATTATGTATTTTATTGTAATTAGTAATTATTGTATCTTTTTTTTGCATATGGTTAATTGTATCTAAAATATATTTAATATTGCTATTAATTTAAAATGATTTCATATCATGCATGATGCAATTTTATAGTTGTTAAGACATTATCCATAAGTCTTTGGCTAATGTCATATTAGCCGGATAATGTCGACATTATCCAAATGTTAACATTACCCGTGACAAGTATACGGTGTATACTTAGTAGTCAATTTAAAAGTTGGCACTTAATGAGTATTTTTTTTAACGTCTATGTATCTTCTTAAGTACCCGTTTTCAGCCAATGATTTCAATCATTTGTCGAATTCAATTCATAAACAACTAACTTCTGCAATTATAGTTGCTGTATTTATAAAACGTTTAAAATATCACTGAATTAAAAATACATAGTTTTGAGATTTATTAAAATATAGTGTAGTATGAATGTATGATATATATTATAGTACCTACCATCCTATAATATAATTAAACCCTATAAAGTCTAAGACGGTAAAACTTTAAAGTATCAGCTGTGTTGAATTTTTAATACATACCTACTATAATGTAGATACTTGAAAAAAACAATGTAAAATCAAAAGATTCTTAAGTACGATAAAAAGAAAACAATTATAATTATATAGGTATTTAATTTTAATGAAGATGCATAAAAAGTAACTTCTGAGTTTTGATGCACAAAAGTATGTATAAATATATAATCCTAACTACAACGTATATATTATTTATAAGAATACATTTTAACTTATTGTACATTAATACAATAAAACATATTAATTAACAATTGGTATGTATTTAATACATATATAAGTCATGTCCTAAATAAATTAAAACATTTAATTTCTGTTCGGTTTTATGACCATGTAAGTAACTAAAAATAAAAAAACTATAACAAGCATTCCAAACCCGTTCAAAATTAATGACTCAATTGAATATGTTTTGTAATCTTTTCCTCTGAAACAAAAATATTGTACACACATATTTTATTCCATATGTTATTATGCTGAACAAACAATATTACGTCAACGGGCAGTGGTTTAATAACTTGTAATTTGTGTATCGGTACTAGGTAGTTTATTACACTGTAGATTTGTAGTTACACATACATAATACGGTGTTACAAAGTACCGATAAATAATTTTACTATTAGATAATAATGGAACCAACACTCAACACAGTCGAGATTACTGACCACAGTGACAGTCCACCACGGTTAAAGATTATAGTATCTTTAATCGTGCTGTCCTCCGTTATTTATTATAGATTGCGTGTATACTATCTCCATGGTCGATACTTTATCAATCATCACAAAGACAGTACCTACATAAGTATTTATTTCGTAAATAAAGCTTAGAAACAATTTATCTATGAGTTAATAATTAATATATAAAATATTGCGAAATACGTGTAGAACACTCAGTAAAAAAAAAAAAAAAAAAAATAATTCTAAAATTAAACTAGGTACCTAACTACTTTAAAACCATAGTAAAAGTAACTTCCTTTGTATAATAAAAACTACTTAAGAAATAAGTCATATAAAGTTAAATATACAAGTATACAACTAATAATAAATAATAATAACAGATTCAAGGTAAAATGTATTTTCGGAGCCCAGAGGACATTCATAATATTATTGACAGTTGTGTGTTATCACATTTATTTCTAAAAATATAAACTAGGTAGGTACCTATTAAGTAGGTACTTGATAGCAATAAAATCTTTATTATTTTATTATTTCTTGTACATATATTAAAACACGTATTATTAATTCAACTATTGGATTTTATTCAAACATTTTGGGAATTTTTAAAACAATACTTGTGAGAAATAATTTATAAATATAACGAGATAAAATAATAAAAGGAATTTTTACTATGAAACAATAATAAGTTAGTTTAGTTGCTTATCTCACTTAACAATGTCAATGTGAAAAAATCCAAAAATATTTTTCAACTGTGTCACTGGCCAGTTCATGGTTTGTTATCAGGCTGAATAAATATTTTTAAATACTAGTTACCTAGTTCATTTAGATTTTACACTGAAGATAATAAAAATGATAGCTTACTGTATCCTATAAATTCTAAACCTACATTAAAGACTGTTCTGTATTGTAAATATTCCCACTGTAGGTTATAACTAGTGGGCAGTATGAAAAAAAACCTTTGAAAATGTTTTATTGCTCAAAACATATATTTATAACTAATTTAAATTAAAATTTTAAAATTACTTCTGAAATGAAAGCGTTTCTCGGATGATAGCAAAGATTATGGCATTATGCATAGCACTTTATTATAATTTACAGTACCTATTTGAATCTGTATCTGATGTTATATCTGACGTTACACAATATATCCTTTGATTTTTTTTTAATTGCATGCGGTCGAACAAAAATGATTTCAAAAATCGACATAGTGACACCTTTTGTGTCAACACATTTGCATAATTCTAAATAATGCAAGTGTTTGAAGAATAGTTAAATAACTCTCAGAAAGTCAGAAGTAAGACATAAAATACCAATTATATAAAAAATGTTACCGTATGCTCCAAATAATTAATTATCAGTAAATATTTATTGTTATATGGGTATGTTTCGTCGTTTTGGTTTTTTTTTTATTTACGTTATCTGTACGGGTGTATATCGATGTCGCTGGCTACTGTTTAATCATAATAATATCTACAATCTAGATTTCGATTCCGCTGGCTACCGTTTATAATATCTACATAGTTTCATACTATATATCGATTTCACTAGCTCTTGGTTCTGCCGGATACTGTTCATATTAGATAACTATGGATTTCAGTCTTATATTTTTTTAAATTTACAAAAAATATACAACTTAAAAATTAGTAAAAAATAAAATTTTTTCACTGAAAAGTCTATGTAATCAATTAGTATTTACTATGCGGCGCATAGTGCATAGTACATACTATATTATAATTGTCTCCCGGAGTAAAAAGGTCGATCATTTATATACTAGTTGTCTCCCGACGTGCCCTTTAAATTTGATAGTAAACGAAAATGGTATAGTACTAGTTGCCTCCCAATTGGCAGTAATTAAATGTATGTACCAAATGCAGGGCCAAGGAGAGAGTAACCCATGCCCGGGAGTAATACCTCGGGGGCTTCACTATTTTTGTCCATCTATAATAAGATTTATCAAATTTTCAGGCTCTCTTAAAAATGCTGGACCGGGGGTGATCACTCTTCCCTCTTCCGATAGACCTGCCTAAGTGGTTCCTAAACAATTCAAAAATGTTATGAATATATTTATAATTTGAATTATATTAAAAAATGTTTTTTTTTATAGACTAATTATATTATTATTTTTAATATGTTCGGGTTATTATTTTGTATAAATGTATATGATATAATATACCTATAAGGGCTAACTGTTATTTTTTTAAAGGTGATGAACAATTTAATTTTATAGCATGCAGTTCTTCTTAGTTCTTATACCTACTTAAAATAGCTATGTTTAATATATTGTTTTTAATACATTGATTGTGATCGGTTAAAGTCGATATATTTTTTTTTTTTTATTATTATTATATAAACGCCAATCGGTAATTGTGTAGGTGAATACAAATATGAAGTGAACATGAGTATAGGTTAGAGTGAAGTAAATTACGTAAACTTAACAGAAAAGTAAAAATGTATCACAAAACAATAACAAATATATATACATATATTAAGTGTAAAAAGTGAGAGGGGCACCATTGAGAGAACGTAGCATTTGGTGCAACGGGTGGTCGAAACCATAAGATGTTGTGTGATTGAGAATACGTATGTATATATTATGTCAAATATAGGTGGGGAATACACGGATTTGAAACCGATTTGGTCGGAGCACGGGTTTCTTCTGTCGTGGAAAGGAGTATATAGTGTATAATGATTTGTTTTTATCTACTATAAGCATGAACAGTATCCAGTGGAATAATCAATATAAACTTTTTTCCAAAGCAGGCAGTTTTGATGGTATCATTAAATGCTCTCTGTGCCACAAAACGGGTGTTACCCATTTAGGCCAAAAACAATTAATTCGTTTTGGGAATAGCCCATTTGCGCCAAAATAAAAAGGTATGTTTTTCCGACAGCCCACTTGCTCCAAATTTACCTGGTATAATTATAATAAAGTAATATATTTTTTATTATATACAATTTTATTTAAATCATAATTAATTATACGAATGTTTTTAAAATAATAATCAATAATACCTATATAATACACATTTTTTTGAAACAATAATTATAATAGATACAAATTGTTTTTAAAAACTATAGGTAATAAATGATTACGAACTATATTTTAATTTATAACAAATAAGTAATAATAGTTAATAGTACTTAGATATTTTTTACTATAAGTTACAGATATGACGTCTTTAAAATATAAGAATTAATAACCAAGTTGTTAATTTAAAATGTTTACGTAGGTAAAATTGGCGCAAATGGACTGTCTGAAAAAACATGCCTTTTTTATTTTGGCGCAAATAGGCTATACCCAAAACGAATTAATTTTTTTTGGCCCAAATGGGTAATGCCCCACAGAACAATACTGTCCCGACTGACTACGATAGTGGGGACAAGTCACAAGCGATTGTTAATTTGATCACGTTTTTTTTCCATTTTATCATAGGTATATTAAGTAGGTTTAAGGACTTTAGAGATGGTCAGTGAGCAAACTCAATAAGTTAAGCTCTTTCAATTCACAATTCGTCTTCGATAAACATTTAATAGTTCAGTCCAAACAGTAAACTACCATCTTGTCCCAACTTGTTCATAGATTTCATCTACCCAACTACCCACGTCAAATGAAACGAAACTAGATGGGTGGACTATTCATCACATAGGTGATTATTATTTTATATCATAATCCATACAATGTATTTAAATATCGAATAAGACAAAAAGAATACTTCATAAAGAAAGTTAAAATGGAAAAGTCGAAAAGTCGAAAGAGTCAAGGGATGAACTTAATAAGCCGAAGAAGAAAATAAGGAAATCAAATCTCAAGTCCGCCAGTGATAATAGTGTAACGTCATCATACTCACAAAGTCTTCATGGCATGTTGGTTAACTCCAGCTATGAGGCAGATAGTCGACACGATGGTGGTATACAGGCTGAACATCTTGCCCAGTGGTAACCCTATGCTGTGCAGACACGGCATCATGAACGTGGCGGCGGCGGACAGCCATTGGACCGTGAACAGGGCCGCCGCCAACACACCGGCCCAAGAATGTACCGAGTATAAATGGCCCTCGTAGAACGCGCTGCCCTCGGGCTTGTTAGTTTCCTTGTGTACGTACATGGCGCACAACCCCAAGGCCGAAACGAGGTACGCGAATGTGTGCAACATCACGTACGGCAACGACACTTTCGATTTGTGAGATTTTATCATGAAAATCGCTGCGAACAGTCGCATAATATAATATTATGAACACTGTCTGTCTGTCTATATGTGTGATAATACTATGTGACATAATGATTACTGATTAGTTGTACCATATATTGCTAGACTTCACAAAATAAAAAAAAAAATCATTTTTATACCGCAAAATGCATCTAAAATATCACAAATAATTGTTATGCTTTGTATTTACTATTTTGTTAGTACTTAATATTGTGTGGAATTTAAGTACCCCCATCCCCTTCCCGAAGTATTAGAATTTCAAAATTCAAATCGAACACACGATTGCAGCATTTATCTCAAGAAAAGTTAACTTTTATGTTTGTTTTTGTACAATGATAAGACAAATGTAGCGTCATGTTATTGGAGGTACATAAACGGCTAATATATCATGATAGCAACACTTACAGTTGGCATAGAGGTATATAAATCCAACTGTGCTAAGCGAGTAATGCCAATTGCAAAATTGGCTACTAGTAATGGAAGTAGAATTCCTGTTGGAAGATACATCGAAAAATCCGTGTTGATATACGACGGATCGACAAACAATCGTGGCGACGCACGTAAGTCCAACCGCTTGAAATATCGTCCAAAAACACAAGCCAGTGTGATTTTTATCGACGTTCTTCCGTTCTGGAATCATTTGAAACACATGATATCTGAATATTAATTATTATTTTGTAAAATACAAATTAATTCATTAAGTGACCAAATTATCTTTCTATATAATATACACGTGCAGCCAGGGACGAATTTAGAATTTTTTTAGGGTGTGGAGAATTAATTAGAAATTCAAATACTGAAATTCTAAACCCTTTTTTATCAATAAATTACATTATTTTCAATATATAGTATTTGAAATAGAAATAATCATTTAATTAAAATATAATATAGGTAAGAATGTACTATGTCATAATTTATAACC